TCTGACTTCGTCTGGTAGAGTTTGAACTTGTACTTGTAGACGTAGAGACAACTGTTTTATCTAACAATGGTTTTCTGAAGTGCTCCTGAGCCTATATGGTAAAATCCTTTGCAGGATGATTTGTGTTTTCAATGCAATGCTGCCTGAGGGGTCAAAGGTCACAACCATTCATTGTTGTTTTTGGGCCTTGCTGCTTACATGCAGAGATTTCTTTGAATCTTTTGATGATATTAGGGAATGTAGATGATGAAATCCCCAAATTCCTGCTATTGTACATTAAGAAACATTTTTTTAACTGTTGGACTATTTGCTCACACTGACAAAGTTGACAAAGTGGTGAACCTGGTCCCATCCTTGCTTGTGAATGGCTGAGCCTTTCAAGGATGCTCCTTTCATACCTAATCATGACACTGACCTGTTTCTGTTCACCTTTGGAATGAACAGAACAAAACAGTCCTCAAATTTCCCAGACTTTGTTGACCCTGTCCCAACTTTTTAGGAACGTGTTAAAGCATCAAATTCAAAATGAGTAAAATACTTACAACAAAACATAAAAAAAAAAAAAAACAAGTTTATCCATTTAACATTATATCTTGTCTTACATGTGTTAAATTTAATATAGGCAGAAAAGGATGTGCGAATCTGTTTTATTGACATTTTACACAATGTCCCAACTTCACCAGAATTGTGGTTTGTAACTGACTACAGACTGGAATTTCTACAGTTTTCTAATGATTTGAAACAGTGGAAGTTTTGATTTACGCTAGCTGAAAGCCATAGTTATCAAATCTCATTTTTTGAATTAAATTATGGAGAAAAAAATGAACTTTTTGAATTTTGTGCTGCACCTGTGTATCCTTCTTGGATTCGCCTGTTCTCTAATTACAAGCATCAGCATTAACCGCTGAAAATACAACACCAGGGACAGATGGTTCATGAAACGGTTTGTGAAAAACACAGCTCAAAGAATGGTTAAGGGAATCCTGGACGTTTGAACAGTGTCCAAAACGACAGCTTCAGGTAAATGCTCTTGTGATATATATTTTAGACACAATACTCCAGTTTGAATTTTTTTTTTTTTATTATAAATGTTTTAATATTAAATGGTCAGTATTGCTAAATGTGGCCAAAAGATTTAAATCACATTGTATGAATTAGGTTAATTGTTCAAGTAATGTAACAACTAATTAAAGTCATTGGAAGAGCTATATGTGTAGGTATTCATTCATTATGCTCTACTGCAAAGACCGCACACTTGTAGTTTAAGGTTTTTTTTCAACACATGATCAGACTAGAAGAAAGGATTCAACAATGTCTATGAACAGATTAAGATAGTGCTCGTAATGGCCGTGTTGTTTCACTGGATGATTTACAAATGATAAAACAGGTCACAAAATATTTGCTCTATTTAAGTCTCTTAAAGGATCCCTTTTTTCCCTTTTTCCACTCCATCCATCCCCCATTGTTTCTCTCTTCTTCCCTGAAGGTGTAAACTGATCTGCAAGTGGTCCCACAAGCTGGATGGATGCTGTCATACAGAAACTCATCTCCCCTTGACGGCACATGGCAGATTACCTTCTTGCAGGCCAACGAATCACTGTGCTTGTCTTCGAGGTCATAACCTGTGGACCCTGTTGAATGAGTGGTTTTGCCAGTGAATCTTATGTATGAATTTATCCATATTGTTCCCCCCTACCATGACTGAAATGACATCAAACCGTGCCCAGGAAACAGAATTATGGCCACTGAAATCCATTAATCATCGATGGTACGAAGTGTCGCACATACATGAATTCTGAGGAATCGTTCTTTATTTTTTACCTACATATACGTTCCAAGTCGCACACTTCGACTAATGCTGGTAACTCCTTGGCCTAAATACCGAACACCACCTTCAATTTTCAGCCTTGCACAATTGAGTTTTAAGAGGGTGATAATTTGCTCCCATTGCACCTCTCTCCGGCCCTGCCAGCCGATCAGTCTGCGTGAAGAACTATCAAGAAAATGTGACGACTAAGCAAGATTGTGCCACTAAATAACAGCACTGACACAGCCAGGAGGGTGTGCCCGGCGCGCACAGGGGTGAAGTCAGGGAGGGGAGGAATGTTGGCCAGAGATGAAAGCAGCAACGCAGGCTGGGATGTGCAGCAACTCTCCACACGTCGGCCTGTTGGTGTAATCAGCCAGATCCTAGCGGCATGAGAAGAGAGCCAACGGGAGAAACATGCCAAAACATCTCTTAAACTGCTGTTTGAGTGTGTGTGTGTGAGTGTGTGTGTGTGTGTGTGTGTGTGTGTGTGTGTGTGTGTGTGTGTGTGTGTGTGTGTGAGTGTGTGTGGGTTTGTCTGTGAGTGTGTTTGTGGGTGGATGTCCTCTCTGTCTGTCTACCTGTCTCTTTTTGTCTAAAGTGTGTCAAAATAATTATTTTTTTTTTCAAGTTGGTACAATCATTCTGTCAAAGCAACACAACTGAATGTAAACGGGATCCTCTGACATACATTTCTCTCTCACATTCAGTCCCCTCAACTTTACTTTAACAACAGTTGTAACAAAGACAAAACTGAATCTAACAAATATTATTTATATTGTTAAAGGACAAATATATTTGATATATTTAATGTTTAAAACTGTCATTTGATGGACTGAACTGTGGTGGCATGTGTGTACGTGTGTGTACGTGTGTGTGTGACTCTCTGAGATGCCAGAGTGACAGCAAAGCCTTCAAAGCCTTCCTTGCACAACACTTTTAGATTGGTGACTGAACAATGACCTGCAGGCGAAAATGTCAGTACAGCCTTGATTTATTAAGTAAGAAAAAAATATACATTAGATTAAGCTTATCCTTGATTAAACCCCATGTAGTCTGTGCATGTATCTTCCCTAAAATATAGTCACATTACAAGTCTGAGGGGACTGGAGATCCCTGCTTTATGGTGACATGCAGGCTAAGTTATTTAAGCCTCTTTGTTAGACCTACAAACAACTAATAGTCTCATAAAACAGGACTGGAATCAACACTGATTTGTCGCCATCATGGTTGTGAAACCTTTACGACTACTACTACAGCTAATCTTTTAAATTAAAAATAACAAGTGTACATACAATATTGCTCTATGAAAAGCTCAATCAAGGTTTAAGAGTTTTTAAAAAATTGAGTCGATCAACTTTGGAGTTGTTACCCAGCTTCTTTTCACATCTGACTCCACGGGGCCCTGAAGGCCTACTTTTGAGAGGATAAATGTTAGGATGCACTCAACTTACAACAACAGCACCTAGTTTTCTGTACATTAAGGCCAATGAAGCCAAATGAAGATAAAAGCTTATTCAATGAAGAAACTTGAAGAGGCAGGTACCATCCACAAAGCTGTGCCTCATCACATGTAAGTCCCATTAATGCTACAATGAACAGGACTCAAATCAAGGTGGTTCATCTTATATCCTCAATGGAACGCTTATTTAACATATTTATTGACCTCATAATGCTCTCGGTGTATTTGTGTACTTAAAAGCAAGCCCACAGTCCGGGATTTCCACCGCAGAGGAGCGTAATGACCGTGAGCTGAGTGAAATTATAGTGTCCAAGCCTCTGCTCTGCCGAAATCACAAGTTTGGTGTTTCTCTAGGAGGGCGATGTTTGTTGTAATTGTCCCTCAAGTTGGACCACAGTGGGTGCCCTCAGTGTGTGTGTGTGTGTGTGTGTGTGTGTGTGTGTGTGTGTGTGTGTGTGTGTGTGTGTGTGTGTGTGTGTGTGTGTGTTACTCTTACCTATTTCTTTAACCTGATGCTTGTAATTTTTCTTGTGAATTACTTCTCTCCATGAATCAGTTGAGGTTTGTTAAAGAAAGATTAATCCGGATAAAAAGCAGAAATACTCTGACTGGTTCGACATTGTGCTTTTGAAAGCAGGGGGAGTTTAATTTTAGGAAATCAGTGCGTTTTTACGCGTAGACCTGCCTTTGTTATTGAAAAAAAAAGTGTTGCTGGTTGTTTTCTTCGAAAGAAAAGCTTTGTAGTATTTTAATCATAGACGTAGCCTACTCATTTTTTTTTAAATTTTTTAATTAAGAAAACATTTGAATCAGTAACAGGCAGCGAGGTCTTTCTCCATCAGTGGATTAGACCAAAAACTGCTCAAAATAAATAAATAAAAAAACCTTGTTTTTTTACGTTTTCAGCTGTTAGATCGACATTTTTTAAATTATTATTATTGTTTTATTTCTTGTAGGCCAATAATTAGTGGGCCTGTTAAAATGATTAAAAGCTGGTGACTCTGATTTTTTTTTTATTCTGGGAACTTCATTCAGCGGAACAAACCTGTTGGTTTTCACACCCACGATTATTAGACGATAAAAATTCCTCCCCACCTATTATATATTTTCTAAAATGAGGCTTCAGGCCCTGCACTGACCGGGAGAAGCGGCTCCTCCGTCGCTGCTCTTGTGTGATTTGTGTGACACGCGGATGTGCTGCAGCCAATGAGCGCGCTCTCTGCCAAGTGAAGGCAGAGATGTGTTCAGCCTCACAGCACTTTCTGAAGAGGAGGAAAGCCTTCCTCTCCACTCCGCTCACAGTCGCCGCTTCACCCCGCGTTAGGGAAACAACCCGTGGACGGAGAGAAGGAGGGAAAATACTGAAGGATATTTCGTCGTTTTGCGGGCAGTTTGGTGTTGGAAGTTCCTGTTTCTGTTGTGGGTACCGTCTTTTACGCGCGCCGGCCTGGCATGAGTCTTAACGGTCATAAACAATGGGTGTTGCGTTTTTGGAGCATTCAGCTGGGATGTAAGGTGAAATATATCACTGTTTAAGACGCACATTCATTGAGCAGGCAGAAAGTGGTCGTGTAGATGGTAAATGTTTGCTTTTGAAAGTCGGAGGAGGTCGTGGAAAAAAACGCCGGTCTGCAAATCTACGAACTTATTTAATTGATGGTGGGTTCCCTTAAGATGACCCCAACCTGGAGGTCATAACTGACCCCTCTTATATTACAACCCCCCTCCCCAATGATGACTATGAGCTCCATATCGGATTCTTTAGTTCCGCCTGATCCATCCAAATCGGCGTTTTTGGAGTTCGGCGGCCACGGCTACCCCGGACACCAGCAGCCATCCCCCGGCCTGTCCCACAACCATTACCCGGTCCACGGGCTGCACGCCGTCGGGCCCTCGCATCACGATGGGCCATTTTCCTCCGGAACATCATCATACGGCCGCCCGCTGGGATACCCGCCTTATCACAGTCCAGTGAGTGCGCATCACCCCGGGGCCTACCTGCCCTATCAGCACGGTGGCCACGGCGGCGCGCTGGGACACACCAGACTGGAGGATGGAGGTAAGGAAACACCAGACTAAAACTTTTATCTTTTCACTTCGTTGTGCATACAGTTTGATATTTAAAATAGGGGCCTGACTTCTTATGATTGAATACTGACTTCATTTATTTCACGCTGCTTATCTCTTCAGGTTTTTGACCTGCTGTCCATTTAGCCAACTTGATTTAAAACAGACGTAAAAATAAAGACGAGCTTTGTTTGAAAATTTGGAGATCAAAACTTGATTTTTCCCGAAGTCCATGAATCAAGAAAGCTCATTTTCTATCATCTGTGGGTCCTCTTGACAAATACTCCACGGTGATATCAGTCAGAGTCATTTCTATTGTGCAAACACTCATAAAACATCCTTTCTTAGAGATGCAGCAACGTCCCTGAAAAATCTTTAAAGGGGTGTATAATCTAAAAAACATGGAAACAAAACCACCGTGAAGCTGAATAATTGGATCCACACTCAGGTCGGCCACAGCGTCATGTTTGAGGCTGGATGGAGAGGAGTTTAGGGCCCACTCAGGCTGTGGGGGACTCCACACAAGAAGCAGCCGAACCTGACCTGTGGTGTCCCGCAGCGGCTCTCACAACACAAACTGTCAGGCCATCATCTCCCAAATAACATCCACCCTGTTTCTGCTGCCAGCACCGCCTGTCTAAACACCCAAATATCACAATAATAATAATAATGATAATAATAATAATAATAATAATAATAATAATAATAATTTTCTACTTCTAACCCTTAGGTAGACCTTAAAATAGGTGTTGTATTCCAAACGACATGAGACCCTCTTTAAAAACAGATACCATTGTAAATAAAAGAAGAAACATTTTCAGACAAATGCAGCAGAATTAAGTCTATATGTTGATCATTTACTTTTATTAAGTTGATTTAAGTCCTTTCACTAAAATTTGCTCACTGCACAGGTTTTTGTTAACATTTTCAGGCTTCTCCTCTCAGTATGAAATAGCCGTGGTGTTTGTGTTTGCTGGTTTAAATGTCCATGTTAAAATGTTATTATTCAACATGGTAGGATCGATAGGTTTTAGCCTGTGTGAAAAGACCTGAAATCCACATGAATAAAGCAAAAGACATTCATGCTTTCATGAACTTCTTCAATACTTTCCCTGTGCAGAAAAGTGCAGAAGACCTTTTGTATCACTCCAGAGTGGTTAATGAACCTTCAAATATTTTACATCAACTACTATAAGTTTTCCAACCTATGATGAATAATTACAACAAAAATAATAAAGAAGAAGGGCCTTAATTTATACATGCATGTGTCAGCTTGACAGCAGGGAAACAAACACTTTTTTTCTTTCTGTCATTGAAAGTGGGACTCCTTTCTTTTTCTCCTTTTTCTTATTTTCTGATCGTTCCATTTTGTCTGTTTTTTTATTTTCACCTAAATTCTGTACGTATTAAAAAAAAAAACAGCTGATTTCTTTTTTGTTGTCTCTATCCCAGGGTATCAGCCTATTAGAAGGCCAAAATACAATCACACCCAGTCGCCCAAGTGTACAAATTCGAAGCGATAAGCCACTAGAATTTAGTTTCAATTACTACTTTTCAGAACAGAGGAATTACACTTTACTCTGTCGCCAATACAAATCTGCCTGAAAAGTGATGAAATATCATGAAAATGTTTAATTTCAACCTGGCTTATATGTCTTGTCCTTTCCTTGGCTTATCTCTTTGGGATGTTATATCAAATTTAACCAGCTCCTTTGTTTGCTGTAGACTGTGATGACAACCTATGAAATTAAATTTGTATTTTTTAAACTGACTTTTTTTCAATCTTGACTTAAAAAAATTAGGCAACCCATTTAGATGTTACCTTAGTCAGTTGCAGAAAGTGCTTTTCTGGACTTTCATATCTTCTGTATTTTTTATTAGATTTGATTGAGCCTAATACTCAACGCTCTTTCAGTCAGGTTTCATTGTTGGACTTACCCTGTAGTTCTGCGTGTCATTCGTTTGTGCGTAAGTGAATTTTTTTGGTAAACATAATTTGGTTACGAAATCCTAAATCTCAGAAATTTACAGTTTTACAGCGAAGAGAGGGGGTTACAACCTCAATACATTGTATGTGTGTTCTTTGACCAAGAGAGGAAAATGTATTTGAGGAAGAAAAAACAGACATTTCTTCATAGCTCCATCTCCATGGCTCATTACAACCAAAAACAATGAACTACCAGCAAACTCGATTTTAGACCAGTCTTTCGTAAAACTCCTCTCTGCTGTTTCTGCACTCGAGTTCGGTGCTGCTGCTGCAGCTCACTTCCAGGATCTGAACGTCTTGTGGGGCCTCGGCTTGTCCACAGCTGTTCTCTCCTGCCACTGCAGGCTATAAACTCATGTCATAACAGAGATCAGCGTGGGCGAACATACACAGTTGTATAGCTGTCTGTAATTTTTTTTTTTTAAAGAGAGGATGATGAAGAGGAGGAAAACCCCTCTTGACTGGCCTGCGTGTAAACCCAAACTAGTTTCTGGAGGACAAAGAGGATTTTTCTTCTACCTGCATCTGTATCATCATTTTTACTCATTCGACAGATTCTCATTGAATTGAATTGAATTGAACGGTTGGGTTTTAACATCCTTACAGCCCAGTCATTTGCACTCGGTGTTGAAAATGTTATAACAACATATGAGAAACTTATACGCTGCAAAAAAATTCTTAAGACGGTTCTGTAAAATCTTTAAAAAACATGACATATAAATTCAAATCAAGAATGAATATGTTTCTGTGCTCTTTTACTACGGTCTTATTTTAAATTGAAGGCTTCATTTTCATAATATTCAAAACATTTGAAGTATTTATAGACATCAAGAGTGTCCTAATGGTCATTGTGTCTGTTATATAACAGAACTCAACATGTTGTTGCCTGTGTAAAAAAGATGATATTCAAATGGAATTCATAAAAGCAGAAGATATTTATACATTTACAGATTTAATGTGCACATGTCTCCATCATGCAGAGATTCAGTGTCTTGTTAGTATAAAATTCTGTCCTCTCTTATCTCCTTGGTATTGACATTCCTCTTCCCCCTCTACCCCCAGACCACGAAAAGCCCACGGCAGTGATCGAGAACGGCGAGGTGAGGTTGAACGGAAAGGGGAAGAAGATCAGAAAGCCTCGCACCATTTACTCCAGCCTGCAGCTCCAGGCTCTCAACCAGCGTTTCCAGCAAACCCAGTACCTCGCCCTGCCTGAAAGGGCAGACCTGGCGGCCAAGCTGGGCCTGACACAGACTCAGGTACTGTGGATAACAAAGACACAAAGACATACACACCTTTCCTTTTAACGTCAAACTGCTGGGGTATTAAAAGAAATCACAAGAAAGCTTAAAAAGCCTGTAAAATAAATATAAATGTTCAAAAATCCTACCCTTTATAAGGTTTAAACATAAATACGATATAGGATATGTAATGACAAGAATCGGAAATAATAGGTGTCAGCTTATTTCTCTTTTTGAAGGTGAACATTCAGCACCACTTTCAAAACTTCAAAGTAAATCACAGGCTGTGGGAATGTCAAAATCCCTGGATTAAGATTAATGGAGATGTCACACACATGCCAAACATGTTTATTTAAATAGAAAACACTGCAACAAAAAAAGTGAAATCAGATCTATTTTCAAACTCAGTCTTTAATTAAGTCATTTCTTGGTTTGCGATGACAAGAATAGCATGAAGCACAAACGCGCACGTGTGCATTCTTGTGAACAAGTGTCATCGCCTGATCCTCAAAGTGTAATTACACGCTGGCACAAGCTCAAATAAACTTGAACGTCATGAGAAGTTTAGTCACTCTGAAGGTTGTAGAAATGAAATCAGAATACAAAGAGCATAAAAAGGTTGAAACAAAACAAGGTGAAACAAAACAAGGTGAAACAAAGCGGTCAGAAACATACAGCCCAAATTCCGAGGAGTGACTCTCCTGCGTAGAGACTGCTGTGAACATGTGTGTTTGTTGTAAGTAGATGTGTGTGTGCATGTGTTGGGTGTAACAGTGAGTCTACGTTTATGAGTCAGCACACAGAGTAAAGACTTGTTTAGCCATGGGTCATCTTCCTTTTTGTGTGAATGTTTTGTTTCTCCCAGAGCAGATTCACACGCAGGCAGATAAAACCAGACGAGGCGAATAAAAGCCCAATGGCGGCCATTTTATCAGTCACATAAAAGCAGTCTCAGTGTGTGAAGTCAACATGTCTGAGCCGGCCGTTCGGCCTCTTTGATCAGTATTTTTGTGAGATAAGATTTTTAAACAATTAAGGACATTTTTTCCTTTGAATAAATGTTTAGTTGGTCACACTCCATTTGCGTTGGATGACAGCATTTCACTACCGTTTTGAGAGGTTGATTATTGAACATTACTGCTCCTCTCAACAATGCATTTTGACAAAATTCCCCAAATGAGCATGACAGATAGTGGTATTCCCCTTTTTTTTGTTATTTAAAAGCATGTGTGGATTGAAAAGAGCAATTTGGACAACTTTAAACAGGCATTGGTTGTTTGAAGAAAAGCTTATGGATTATAAACTAAAAATTAAGACAAACAAATTACATATTTGAAGCTTTCTTGCCTGTTTTGACGAAGTTATTAGCAGACAAGTATGAGTTTGATATATTAAAAGTCCAGCGATTAGGAATTGAATTGATCTTTGTGAGCTACAGTAGGTATCTGTCAATCCAGTGTCACAGTAACATTCAGCCTGAGCATACAGTTCAGAGTCTCTGCTTTGTAGGTTGAACTTCACCAATCATGTCATCTCCCCTCATCTCAGGTTGAGTCTATGAAATTAGATTTTATGAAGAAAAATAGTGCTATTTGATATCCTTAATGTGATGCCTGCAACACATTTGTAAAAAGTTGGTACATAGAACTCAAAAGACTGAAAAAGCTGTGTGATCCCAAGATAAATAACTTGGAGGTTTATCGTCCAACTAGTTTGGCTTTTAGGAATGGACAAGGAAAAAGCTCAGCAATTTAAGAATCATGGCAAATAAAATGCAAAGAATTTGTGGATTTTATCGCTTGCGGTACATAATATAATTAAAAGATTAAGAGAATCTGGAGAAATCTCAGAACATAGGAGACAGGGTCAGTAATGGGTACTGTATGGCTGTGATCTTTGGGCTCTCAGTCAGGCAGCATTGCATTATAAAACAGGCATGACTCTGTAGTGGAAATCACTGCATGGACTCAGAATTATACCTAAAAAAAAGCCATTGTGCTTACAGGTTGTGTTGGTTAAAACTGTAACGTGAAAGAAGAAACTAGAAATCAACATGTTCCAGTTACTTCTTCATCTCAGTCCATTTCAGATTGACTGAAGCATCTGAGTTCTCTGCTCTTAAGGCTTCTTCAGTGCACAGTTTAAAACCTAGCATTGTGGTACGAGGATGCCCATGGCATGGCTAGCTTACACATCCAGGAAGACTCTTTTAATGCTAAACAACATGAACAGGTTTTTGCACAACATTTACTGAAATCCAGACTTGCCTTTTTCAGGGAAGACCTTTGTATATTTAAAAAAAAACAATGTCTGCCCATATTACAACAACATGGCTCTGTAGTAGAAGAGTCCTGCTGCTAAACTGGCCTCCCTGCAGTCATGACTTGTCGCCCATTGAAACTGGCACATATGACTCAAAAAAGTATGACAAAGGAGACCTTTAACTGTTGGGGAAAAAATCCTATATCAGGCACAAATGGGTCAACATTACCCTTAACAAACAATAATGATGTAATAGTAAACATGCTCCAACTCTTATGAAATGAATTGCTGGTATTAGATTTTAAATGAGCACATATCTTTTATAAAAAAATAACATTTTTCAGGTTCAACTTAAGATTTTCTTCGTTTTTTCGTCTTTGCATCATTTTCAATCAAACATGGACTCTAAATGATTTGTAAAGCACTTCACACAGCATCCCAACACTTATTTAACTGAACTTTGAATCTTAATGTTAATGTTTTTTTCTTTATCTGGAACCTCATATTTTAAGAGGGTGTAGTTATTGTTTTGAATGAAGAACAATCCTGGTTTTCACCAAGTTAGTTTTGTTCAGAACTGCTTGTTGAAACACAAACCCTTTTCTTCACATGTGACACACGTCACATCCATATTCCAAATTTAGGTACATGTCTTAGCGGGTTGTTGTGTCACAGTGAGAAGCCTTTATAAGTCAGAGCTGCTATCATGACAGTGGTTTTGATCATTGTTATTCTCAATGTGGCAGCAGGAGAGCAACACAAAGGAGAGTCTTAATGCCAGGAAGTTAAAGGGAACTTTTTTTTTTACAGTAATGCCTGTATGAAAAGTACACAGATGTTCAAAAAGACTTTTAAAGTGGACGTTTGAAGACTGAGCGGGTGTCTCACATGGGAATCACACAATAGGTTTGATATTGGTTGGCTCATGTGTGAGTGACCTGCGTGGCTGACTGAGTAAGCAGTCGTTAGATGAACTGTCCTAATCCCATATAGATCATCCAGAGAGAGATGTTTACACTGGGAGTAAAAGATGATCTGTTGGTTTACTTTGGCCTTCTGTAGAGGCAGTGTGGATTTAAATGTGGTCTGCTTTAAGTAATACTCACATCCATGATTACATAAGAACCACTTTCTTAAGTCTCCGTGTGTTTGTGTGTGTATTGTTAAAGTTGTTCTGAACAGGTTAAGTTGGCTCTGCCTGAGATTATGTTCTTTACAGCGATGCACAGCGAGTGAGACTGAAGACTGAAGAGATCAAGGAGAGTCTCCACTTCAGTTTGTGGAGCTCAGCAGATAATGACTCTGGCTCCTTTTTACACCAACTGCCCCTTTACTGTAAACGTCATGACTTTTTGCAGACAAGTAAGAGTCATAGATGGATTTTTTTTTTTTAAACAGCAAAACTACAGAGAGGTTTGCCAGTTAGAAATGTCATGAGTGGTTACTCAGCAAAGCTACATTTCCATCTGTAAACTCTTATTTCCCACATGGTATATAGTTACCTTGGCAACAGTTGTGGTACCTTGTGCTTTTTGTAGGGGTGAGAGAAAAAATCAGTACAGCATAGTATAGCAATATTTTGTCTGGTGATAAATCGAATCATCACATTTACAGAGTATCGATTTTTTAAAATTAATTCCTAATATGAAGTCAAATCTATGATAATGGGAAAATAAAATCCATTTGTTTGTCAGGTGAGGTTGGCAGAGGTGACATCCTAGAGCAGGAGAAAGTTAGTGCAACAAACATGGCAGCACCTGGGGAAAGACATTAGGAATGCAAGTAGGGTACAAATGAGATGGACCTGACACATGAGGTTTGCAAGATGTGCCACATGAAAATAAAATACAGTGTAAATAAGACAAACATAAAGGATATCCAAATGCTAAATTAGCTAAACCGTTGAAAAAAGTAAAAAGCAGTAATATAGTATTGTGGCCCAAGTATCGTGATGATATCGTATGGTGGGGCCACTAGTGATTCCCACCCCTGCTATATACTTTGTTTTGCACTTTATTTTCAACATACTTTTCATACTGTTTAGTAACATGAAGCACTTATGCAGTCAAATGAAATGGTATTTGTTGTTTGAAACAAGGTTTTGACTCAGTTTGTCCTTGGATCAGTATCCTTGTTTACAGCAACTTGTGTTTTTGACTGGTTAACAATGTTGAATACCATGATATATTATCAATATATTTGATATGTCTTGTATCATGAGGTCCTTGCAAATATACAGCCGTAATGTATTGTATTGTATGGTATGGAATCATATTGTATCGAATCGTATTGTATCGTGATACGTGTCGTATTGTGAGGTCCTTGCCAATATCCACCCCTAGCTTTTTGTAGTTCATTCTTGACCACTGTATTAGGAATGGAAGTTAAAATGCTACAAACCATTGACTGGTCACTCAAAATCACCATCTATATCTTTAACAGCTTTTGGCACTTACTTGCACAGATTTCCAAAGTGTGAAACTGTGACCAAAGTCAACTCTGAAGTGCAGGGCAGCCCTTTGTTTTTCCAAATGACGGGACGCCACAGTAGCATCACCCCGCATTAATTAACTGAATTTAGGAGGACAATCTACAGTACAGAACTGAGCGAACTCAAATTCTCGGTCAGTAGAGCCAGGAAGGTTAGAACAAAGCAAAACTCTGCAGTAAAATATGAGGCTTATCTATCCAACCACATACCTGATATGCTGTGAGCATAAATATTCATGGCTGGACTTAAGTCTGCACAAACACACAATCGCATATCCCTGCATCTACTCGAATGTATGTAGCCTATGAGCGTTTTCACACACATGCAGACACAAACGTAAACACACATTTGAAGATAGCGATCATACACCACATCTCTATCCCGCCTCCATGTCATTAGGCTGGCAGCCAACCGCTGACCACTTTCCATCTGAAATCTCTAATGTTCCCAGACGCAGCTGACAAATGGCACGTAGCACAGTCCTTACATTTTTCCATGAAACACTAACTTCTCTTTCTCTCATGCCCACACACAAACAAAACACACACACCTAAAAAAAAATATTCTTTGCAGCTCTTTTTTCATCAAAATTGTAGTAATTATTTGTCAATGTGTGGAAAGGTTTGGCTTGATTTTTATTTAAATGTGACACACCCACTTTGTGGCACCTGGCATGCCTCTTCGCCACCCTCCTCTGCTAATGTTGGTGTTATTAGTCGCGCTTTCAGAGAGGCTGTCAGCTAAGTGTTGATGCTGGAATATGAAACCAATAATTACAGCAGCGGTCCTCTTACTGAGGCTGCATTAACTTAACATGCTGCTGATTGACTCCTGGACTCGTAAGCTATGCTGAAAATAATAACTTAGGGTTATCATCAGTGAGCTACCACTGGCGAGTAATGCACAAGGTTATATCATGTTACTTGTCACTGTAGTTGTAATTACATTAATCTATGTGTTTTTGTGAAAGGTGAACTTTTAATGTCGCCTCATCCCTGAGATTTTAGATCTGATCTTTTCACTGAAGAACTTTATCGTTAAAAATGTTGGAGGGGGACTGAGAATGCAAAATGCTTCATCTAGCACATTTCTGCATCATTATATGGTGTCATTATTGTTGCATTAAAGGAATATAAAGTGACAGCTTATTTTTTATTTGTTATAATTCCTTGGAGGCTGTGGTTGACGTCATTAGATATTCAGGAACAATAGAAATCAAATTTATGTCGACTTTGCTCTTAAATGGCTATTTCAACTGTTAGAGCGGGGTGTGAAAATTGGCTAATTTTTTTACTATCGAGATGGGGATCATTTTTTCCAACACATATTTAGAAGCAATTAGATCAGTCTGAAATTAGATTTTATAAGAAACCAGATTTCTTCCAAAACCACTTCAACCATCTTCATAAATACCAATAAAATTCTCCTGCAAGATTTCATAGGACTGTCGGTGTTGAGGGAAAAACAGTTTGGAGTGCCAAGAGTGTTTTCCGTCTCTCTTCCTTTGCCTTTAATCCTCTCTCTCTCTCTCTCTCTCTCTCTCTCTCTCTCTCTCTTTCTCCTCTGAGCTCTCTTTTTCCCTCACTCTGTGCAGCCGAAACCTTTGGGCGTTTATTTGAGCTTTACAGCACAGTTAAAACCAGTTTGAGACACAAGTATCCATCACTGACTGTGCACAATTATTTATGATTCATTTGTTCCTGCTAAGCTGACAGGCTGCCCCAGAGGCATATTCGTGTAATTTGATGCTCAATTTGCAAGCATGCTGGAAAACAGAGGACATGCCAGTTATATCAACAACACAACTAAATAATCTGTAACCACAGACAATGATTGAAGGGATATTCAGTTCAATATTGTGACATCTTCTAACAGTGTTATGTTTTTCATATTCACACATGGATAAAATTCCTACCACCTGGCTCCTGACTCATTTTAAGTATTTATAACTTTAATCAAACCTCTCATATGGTAAAGCATCACCACCAGATTCACTGAACTGTTTCCTGCCACCTGAACACCTGAAGGGCTATCAATATGTTTGTAAGAACCACCGTCTGTCATACTGGATGGATGTAATGCTATCCTGAGTATCTGTGTATTATTAGTATTATTATATCATTGCTTAATCATTTCTACAGGGGCAATGAGGTAGACCGTGCTCCACTGATATTGTGTTGGCACACCTTCTCTAATTATATTTCTGCATGTTATAATTATTTTACAATCCCTTGTTTATTTTGAATGCTACATCGTTGCCTAATTATGGGTTACTTTATTGGATTATTTGTTTGAATGATTTTTCAAAGAGGCGTGTTAACAGTTAGCTTACTATGTCTGTGTTTTTTTATTTATTCATTTATTTATTTTTATCTATATATACATATACATACATATACATATATGTATATGTACTGTGTATATTTGGTAAAACCGCAGTTCCCTCAAAGTTGGGACACTGTGTGAAATATTAATGTAATCAGATTTTAATGTTTTGCAAACTATTGAAACCCTATATTTCATTTAAAATACCAAATGTTGAAACTAAAAATATTATTGTTCAATAGAAAAAATTATGTCATTTAAAAATTGATGCCATTTGTAAAAACGGGTATGTTTACCGCTGTGTTGCATCTTTGCTGCTTGAACATTTAAAGTTTTGGACGTTTAAAAATTTAGGAGAGAAATCTTGTTCAATTTTTCAAGACTTCAGCTGCTCAACAGATCTAGGTCTCCTTTGTAGTGTTTTTCTTTTTATGATAGGCCAAATGGTTTAATTGAGTGAGAAGCTGAAACTGCACACAGGCCTCATTAGCACCCAACTCTTCTATTATGGGAGCATTTATAAAAGTTCTTACACTGAAAAAGTAATTGTCTGGGTGGCAGCATGTGTCACTCCTAAACCTGTATATGTTGTTCGGCATTAATGGGGTCTTCACAGATGTGAGCGTGATCCATGACATGAACACTAATACATCCCCAAATAATCAGGGATGCTGGCTTTTGAAATGTCTGCTGATAACAATCCGGGTGGTTTCTCTCCTCTTTAGAAAAGAGGACCTTCATGTTAAACATGATTTCTAAAATGAGTTACACATTTTTACTCTCCAGACAATGAGGCAGAGGAAAGATAGGTCAGAATTTAAAATGAGAATCTGTCATTTTTCATTAAACATTCACATTTCTAGTTTCAGCATCTGAAATGTTGTCACTGCATTGTTTCTAATTAGATATAACGCAAAAATATCATCTTATTGTCTTTTTATTTAGTTTTTAAAGGTACTGTGAGGAATTTTTGACTGGTTGAAAAGCCTGTTATCCCTCTTTATGAACTTCAAAAACAAATAGGACTATCAGAAACAAGTCTGATCAGTTCTGTGTTGTCATTTTTAATGCTTTAAACAGCTGTAAGGGGGTAGGTATCAGACCAAATGATTGAAAAAACAGCCTTTCTTAAATGTCGAGACAGAAAATACTCATGTAAGTTGATAGGTTTTGTAGTTAAAGGTTTTTGTGTAAAAACACAACTTTGAGATGTATAAGATGATAATGAAAAGGTATCAATTTGTCCACAGGGGGCACCAATATCTATACAACCAAAAGTTCCTCTAAGTGGCTTTAAACTAGAGCTATAGTTATGATCTTGATTCACTCACTACACCTTGGGCTGACAGTTTCGTGAATGTTAGCTAATAGCTTCAATAAGTGTCTTTGTCCTAATCTAGATGACTTCACTCTTTTTTCAGCTCCTCTGTTGAAGTTTTTAAAACTGAAAATGTGTTTACATTCGTATTGTAAATCTTTTACTAAATGTTTTAGGATTCAGCTTTTTAGGCTGCCAGTGTGGACCAAACTAAATAGTCAGTCATGATAGCAGGTAAAAGCCTGTTTTTAACAGCAAAACAGTTTTGGTCTGATAAGCTTATGGCTCCCAAGGCACAGACAGTGATTTTTTTTTAATGCATTTGTTTTTTAAGTTATTAAGGTCACAAGATCGGCAAATCTTAGGCATGACTGACCTGACTGATGGACAGGCACACTAGCAATTTTTGAGGAGGCTGAATGCCCATCTCTGGTAGGCTGACCAAAATTTAGGCCAAGTCAGCATTACCAATATGGTTACTGGCGCTGATAGGCTTCAAGACGCCGCCTCAAAAACAAACATCTGTCACCACTAATGGTACATCCAGTTATTTTACTGTCTATGTGCAGAACAGACTGAAGGATGTGGGACACTGGCAACTTTTCTTTTTGAGACTGAAAAAAAAAAACACTGGTGGCATCAGCAAAAACTGTTGGTAGATCATAAGAATAGCAGCAAAGGCTAACGAACCAAACCAAGACTTGAGAACTGGTAGTGCTAGCTGATGACAATGACAAAGACTTGACAAAGCCAATCATGAGTTAACAAAAGTGTAAGAGACTCTGAAACCAGTAATGTTAGACAATTATTAGCATACACTTAAGGAACCAGTTATATAAGAAACATTTTGTGAGAGACTAAAGAGCAGGTACAAACCTATCATCTAACATCTCTGGCAGAGATTTGAAACGGGTTATGTTAGCTACAATTTTACAAACGCACAAGACTCAGTTATATAAACCAACAACTGTCAGGGACCAATGAGCTGGTAATATTAACGAAGACTTATGGCAGAGGTTTTAAACTGATTAGCTATTTTAGCGACAGTTTTATTAGTTACTTTAGAGCCTGTAAAACTAGCTAGTCACTAGCTAGAAGTCAGCGTATCTAAAAAGTAAAGGGGATATGGGGTGGCAAGGTATAATCAGTAGGTCAAATTTGTTGATCAAAGGAATTGGTAACACTCCACAATAACCATAATTTATAATTGGTAAATAGATAGTTTATTAATTTTTAATCATTATTTAAAAACAGCATATAGACCAATTATAAATGGTAATAGATAGTTTATTAATGTAAGTTAAAAGTTACTTCTCCATTGACTAGCAATGAAATTATGATTAATAATTTTCATTAATTATTAACAGACTATTTATTAAAGGTTTATATAGGGTTTAAATATTAGTTGTAAAACATCTAGATTAAAATGTGTGTCAGTAGCACTTTGTAGATGGTTAATATTTGTTTTTAAACCATCTATAAACATTACTTAGATGGTTATTGTAAAGTTGCAACTGATGTTTGTAATACTTTGTAAATGATTAATGAGTGGTTTGTAAACCACCTACAAACATTACTTAGATGGTTATTGGAAAGTTAGGTTTAAGTTTGTAAAAGTTACAATTTATTAATGGTCTATATGCTATTTATAAATGGTGATTAACCATTAATAAACTATCTGCTTACCATTTATAAATGGTCTATTTACCATTTATAAGTTATGGTTACTGTAAAGTGTTACCCAGGATCTTTCTAGATACAAGCAGATAAGAAATTATGACTCATGTATGACAAATATTATCATGGGAGTCTGCACTTACCTTCACTCTGAGCTGCTTTAATCTCACTGTTGACAAAACTCCTGCAGAAGTATCTTGGCTGTTGTGGGGATTAACTTTTAATTCATTAACTCTTACCTTCTTGTCTTCAGGTCAAAATATGGTTCCAGAACAAACGATCCAAATACAAGAAGATCATGAAGAATGGGCCCTGCGGACCCGAGGGAGACCACCTCGCCCCCCCAGCGCCGTCCTCCTCCTCTCCGTGCTCTCTGTGGGACATCAGCATGGCTGCAAAAGGCGCACCAGTGCACTCTGGAGGATACATGAACAATTTTGCTCACTGGTACCCTGGACACCAGCAGGACTCCATGCCGAGAACTCAGATGATGTGACAGAGGGAAGGACAGGAAACCTTCAGGAAAGATTATGGATTTACAACAGCAAGCTAACTGGAGCTGTTAGGGACACTGAGACTGTTGAGAGTCTGAGCCACTCTGGAGGCAAAAATGATGAAACTGGATCAACAGCAGAAATTGTAGCCGAGTGACTGAAAATGTTAGAGAACTGCAGCCACAGTGGTCTTTAAAGTTCAGTCATAATTTTTACTTCTAAATTGTTTTATTACTATAAACCATTCCCTTCAATTTAAATCAGCCATTTTCATCTGAAGCTGAACAAGGCAAGTCCATCTGTCTGATTTATGATGTCCCCACTTTCACTTAAAAAGAAATATTGGTTTTAATGCTTTATCGTATTTTCTGTGGATTGACTGTTATTTATCTGCTGTTTTTTTATAACTTCATCCATTTAATTCAAAGTAAAAGTTAGCTGAACAAGAGCCTTGGTCTAAAATTAAAGGCCAATGGAAAAATCACATGATGTAACCTTACAGCAGAGGTATATCAGAGTCATGAAATCAGTGAAGAGACCCAGAAATGTCTTTTACACAGACATGTTGCCACCATAAGCTACATGATAAATACAGTCTCATTAAAGCCAGTTAAGTTATTTCTGCCTTCAGCAGAGCTCTGCTTTCCAGAGTAATAACATTCGGATCAAGCTACAACTCAAAACTTATAAAACCCCAGCATGCATCTCTGTTTCTGGGCATTTCAGGTGTTATTTTTGTCGTGCAAGGGTGGAAAAAAGAAGGATCTTCAGGGCTTTCGTAGTTTTTCTTTGTGAACCTGTACTGATCTCGATACAGACCAGACTAAAGTTCTTAAGAAAATTTGAAAATGTATTTGGATTCAATTGTCATGTGTGCTTTTTAGATTCTAACAGGGGGTCAAATAAACCTTTCAGGGTCAAGTCTATGCAGTGTCAGTGAAGGCCAACAGGGGCTCTGATAAGGTCTACAAGAAGGGATTCAAAGGTACTTATTCAAATATCCTTTTTTTAGGAGTACATGGGCAAAAGCACCAAACTGACGTGGCTGCTTTATCATAGAAGTCAAATTTTATATGTATTTTTTCATTGAAAATGTCGAGATGGGTTAAATATCAAGCCAAAAAAGAAAAAAACGCCAAAAATGCATCTAATGCAATATTTTTATAAAGAAGTTTCACCAGGTCATTCATGACTTCTGTGTTTATTTTGTGATTGTCATTAGTGTCATTCATTCTCCGCATGAGATCACTCTGTTTACCTTTCGTCCCAAGAAGGAGGAGACGGTGTGGTGGTAGAAAAACTGACGTGTTTGCAGAGACTTTATTTACACTGACAGGTTTGAATACTTGTACACTTCAGGTTAGTATTAATTGTACTTTTGATTCTCATTGGGGATTTTTCTGCTTCCTTCTTGGGACTGTCTGAACAGGGAAACTTTTATGTACTTTAGTTTCATAACTCCTATAGTTTACAGCCATAAATGTTAATTTAAGCCATAATCTTCAGAGTGGAATATGTTCAACGATATCTTACCAAACAATTAAGACTTGGGAATAATTAATTGGCTCTTGGTTAGGATTTTCTTTGTTATGGGGAATAAATCAAACCCACTGCCACCCTATCTGATCCTGTGTATTTAAATTACTTTGATCAGGAAGAAGAAACGCTGCTTTGCACCTTTAACAGATATAACAGATATGAATTGAGGCTACAATGCTGAAGGAATACACTCCTCCTCTACGTGCCCACAACCCGACAATCATAAATCAGAAGACACAGGCCACGTCTTTGGCCCTCAAACATCTGGAAAAGCAAAAAGAGTCGTCAAACATCGCTGATGGTTTTATAAAATGACCGTATCAATTTCGGGTAATTTAGGACACAGCTTGTTAAATAAAGCTTTCACTCTGATGCTGTAATTATCTGTAATTGGCAGTCAAGGGAATATTCATCTGCCGTGGGCTGAATGTAAAAGCTTGGAAGTAGTGGATTACACATGACTGGATTACTCAAAGCTAATCCCTTTGATTCCTTGGATGGATATTAGTAAAATACAATCTTACAACTTTCTATCATATTAATTGAGCATGAACATGGTTATTCATTCTTCATTTATAATGGAAAGTAATCCAGAGGTCGGGTCATTGTTAGCACCAGTCAGAGAGGCTGAAACAAAAAAAAAAAAAAGAGAGAGAGAAGAAAAGAAAAGAAACAGGCTGAATGAACTGAAGGTGCTGTTTAATTTGAGATAAAAAGACATGCTGTTATGAGGTGTGTAGAGAAAATGTGGGCCTTGAGGGTGATCAAATAAACGTGCCGCACTCCCACACTCTTAAATGTAATTCATTCCCAGTTATTTTTGCCGTAAGTTGTGTGACAGACGTTTTTAACTAAGGAAACATCAAGTGATCCAAGTGTCATTTATACCTATTATTCTCAAAAATGCCCATTCAAAGGCATTTTAGTTTAAACCCTCTCAAATGCAGTTAGAAGTTCTCCTTATATAACATATCACTTAAAGAGCTGAGTCAAGTTTTATTTTCCTGATACGATTTATAGGCACAATAAAAACAAGTCGAATTGGCTTCATAACAAAAAGTTTGACAATGTAAATCTTTACAACTACAGTTTCATTTCAATCATTTCTAATGTATAAAAACATAAATTATTAATTAGACAAATAAGGTATAAAACGTTTTAAAAGTGCTTTCTGTCAGACTGTAAATCAGAGTGAGTGCAGACACCTTCATGGAGAATTTCCAGCTCTAAACTGACGAATATCTTAAGGCAAAGAAAAGCCTGAGACTGAACTCTAGATTATAACCTGACTTTCTTAATCACAGATTATCTCGGATTATGGGTTTTTTTTGTGGCATAAATAGATAAATCTTTTCAATTCAGTAATATGATTTTTTCTAATCAATACTTAATGTGTAGTCAGTTCCTGGGAAATATGGATGATATTGTTAGAAGTTGTGTCATTTCAGTTATGGGCAGGATCATGTTGGCAGTTATGTAAATTATAATCTCTTTAGAGCGAAGAGGCAACACCCTCCTGGTTCATACCCACCTGTTCACTGTACATCCACCTTTATATTTGAGCTGGTGCTTCTGACCTCAAAAGAAATGAAGAGTTATAAAGAACGTAATTTTCTGATTTATAAGCCTACTTTGTTATAGAGAATAATTGAGGACAATGTAAAGTTATAGGTTGTGTCATTTCAGTTATAGAAAGGATCCTGTGGACGGTTATGTAAATTATAATCCCTTAACAGTGAGGAGACAACACCCTCCTGGTTCATACCCACCTGTTCACTGTACATTTTTAAGTTGAGCTGGTGCTTCTGACCACAAAAGAGAAAAGAGTTTGACAGAGAGTTTCTAATATCCTGATTTATAAACCAACTTTGTTATAGATTATGTTGGCATAACTGAAATATGAGGAAAATTAGCTCTGACAATGACAAGACAATGAGCTTGTTTCTGTTGATGCCACAGTCCAGACTGGCATGAGCTTGGGTGTGACAAAAAAAAAACATGCCTCACACTCACACACTGTTAGAAACTTTCTTCCTCTTCCTCCTCTGTCGAGTGTAGACAATTGATGGTAGTTGTCTAAAGAGGAACACATGGTTGGCACCTGAACGTGCAGCCCTCATATGAAAGGAAACAGAAAAAACCTTTCTTCTTTACATTTTGGGGAAACTCAGACTTTGGGTGGATTAAAAAAGTATTTTCATCTATTTTTTTCTTGACAGCCGTTAAAGCAATCATCCTTTCCTTAATTACGTCTTTTCTTTTCTGCTTTTTTTCTGGCCTGATCAAACATCTCTTTCATAAAACCAGTCTGCATCTTTTCAACAGCATCCTGTTCGTTGCCGTTGGCAAGTTCTCGCTGCTGCGTTTTATATATAGGATGAATACCCGTCTTTACACACCTCAGAAGCATTGTGTTGTCTAATCAAATAATCGACGCCTGTGGAGGGCTCAGGAAACAAAACAACGTGATACAGTCTGCGGGGAAGAGGGCAGAAGAGGCTAAAAGGAAAGGCCGAAACACATGCATACTGTTGAGTTGGGGGAAAGTTTTATTAACTACTGACATAACCTGAACAGTTTAACGCACATGAAGTGAAGCTCAACCATCCAACAATGAGCATAGAAAAACCTGTGCCTTAAAGTCCCACTCTGATGAAAATCATGTTTTTCTTGTTGTCTACATGTTCACATGGTATTTTTTTGATGCTACTGGACATATCATGAAAAAATAGGTGCGAAATTGTATTTCTGATTATTTCTGCATTCAAATTAATGTGACTCTCTGGCAGATACAGGGAGATTTCCTATGTCACAAATTCAAGCTCCGCCCCCAGTGCCCTGCTATGCAGAAGTAGAGAAGACAATCGTGGAACAAGTGTGTGTGTTAGCGGATTGCAATGCTCGTAAGAAATCTAATTATGATATACGCTTTCATCATGTCCCCAACAATGTTGTTTTCGTCAGGCAGGACGAAAACTTAAATGACGACGTCAGACCCCTTTTTTCCTTGACGAAAATGAGACTAAGACGAACGTCACCAAAGCTCTGTAAAGACTAAAATGTGACGAAAATTGTATTGATTTTCGTCAGACTAGAACGAGACGAGACTAAATTGTTATTAGGTGGACAAACAAAGTTTCAAAACATGCTTTTTTTTATCCTAACAGTCACGCCCCCATCACACACGCACCAAAAGCCTCGCTCGCGCACAGCTGCGCGCACACACTTATACACATACACAGAGTGGCAGGTGGACGAGGCGCGCGCATACACACACATACCGCGGCGGCAGGCACAGCAGCGGTGCCCGGTGGCCGAAAAAAGAGGGATGATTTTTGGTCCTACTTGGTCCTAAACACAATGTCTTGTACGAGACGAGACAGACGACAGTTGTGGAGCCACAGCTTCCTCATGCTGCGGCTTCAAACTGTCGGGAAAGAACACAACGAACCTCAAAAGGCAC